TGATTTAATTTTTTTTTGGTTATCTGATTTAATTTAATTAATTTGTAAAAATGTTTAGGATTTCTTTTAATTAGAAATAGTTGTTATAAATTTTGAAATTAATTATTTTGTGTTATCCTAATAAGATGTGTATAATTAATAATATATAGAGATTTGAAAGAAATTAATTATATTTAGGGTTTTTGACATAATAAGTATTAATAATATAATTTAGAATAATAATGAATTGTTTATAATTTATTTATTTTTTTGGTTTAGATTGCTATAAATTATTTTGTGATATCCTAACATAGTCATGTTGTATAATTAATATATAGAAATTTTACTTAATAAAATATATTTTATGTTGATGTGTAATTAGATAATAAAATATATAAGTATTAATAAAATATATTTTATGTTGATCTCTTACATTGATGTGTAATGTTTCTCCTCTTGAAGTATCCACCAAAAGCTTACGCTCTGTAACTGTGTAGAGGTATAATCCTGCAATCACAGTAAACAAATGACATTATTAAAGTTTAATGGGAAAGACGGTAGTCACATGGGCAACAAGGTAATGATTCAGACAAAGTCACAAAAGATAGCCTCAGTTAACTACGTTTGATTTAAGATCAGTCCCGTGATTCTTTTAAGATTGGGTCTATACCTTTTATCCCTAAAGCTTATGAAGAAGATATGGCTTTGACCGCTGCACATCTAAAACTATATGGCACACGATGTTGATTTTTGTTTTTCGTTTTTTTTCCATCATGAAATCATAATGAGAAAGGGTCTGCAAAATTTTAGTATAAAACTTCTTTGTCTCGAGAAATTGATAAATATGCATATAAATAATGCAATACATAAATAACGGTTGAGAACTCAGAATGCTAGTTGATACTTTCTTTTGAGGAATAAAGGTATATTGCTACTTCTGGAGGATGTTTTGATTTATCTACAATACATAAAGAAAGGCTATTACATACTACATTTCATAAAAGATAGCTTAAAATGAAGTGATGGGCTTCATAATTTGTCATCCTATATTAAAAGAATGATTACCAAAACTAAAATAATTTAATCTATATAATCATATATGTTGGGGGAAGATACATGGTTGATTACCAAAGGGCACATAACATAAACGAAATGCAAGGAAATATGAAGTTGTCTAAATAAAAGTCACATACAGAAATAAAACAGAAACGCACTCCCAACTATATAATTCCATCTAGTTCAGGAGTCTCAAACTTAAAATGGCACCACACTAGAATATTATCTATCAGCACCAAAAACCACAATAAAATAAAGGGCAACAAAAATAATCCTTATGCTTCAATTTGGAACAGTACTAAGCCATTCACTACACCACCAGAACTTAAATAGATAAACGCTGCATCTAACTAAGTCATATTCCTCTTAGGCCATTCCAGTATACACAAAAATCTCCTAAATCATTATGGAATTGTATACGCATGGAGATTGAATATTCCAATTTTGAGTTTAGATTAAAGCTACACTTCCCATTAAAGCTCCAGCCCAAAAATTTGATCCTTATTTTGATTCTTACAGTTCCCATTAAAGCTACAGCCCAAAAATTTGATTCATGAAATTGATACCATAACCATAAATAAAGTATTTTAATCAAGAATGTACTTTATGTGATACACATAAATTTTAAACGAAATCGGAAAACAAATATAGCACCTAAGGAAAAATAATTATGTTTACTAATTCAAAATCAAACAAGATCCAGTCCACACACAAAAAATATTTTGAAAATACACAAAAATGATTGTTACATATACTTGTAGATCTAGGAAGAAAAATATATAAAGCAAATTACTTTTCAACTTCAAACTCAAGAAGAGTAACATCTCAAAGTGAGCAGTACCTGTGATTCTTCTGCGAAAGAAACTCACTGCTCTACAGGTGGCTCCGATGAACGGCAAAGGTGGTTGACGGTCTGTTGGTGGTTCACGGCGAAGGTGGACGAAGGAATGAGTGCTCCCTTTGTCCTCCGATCGGAGACCCACTCGATTCTGGCTCCTGCTCCTCTGTGCTCCTTTTCCTTTCAAACTCAGCTTCGCTTTCACTTCGACGAGTAGATCACATTAGCAGAAGTTGAGAGGAAAAGGTGAAATTTTTATCGATTTTAAAAACTCAGCAGCTTCATCTATTAATTTTTTCCATTCGAAGGAGAGGGGAAGGTGAAGCCTCTAAGCAAAAACCAAACCCTATTTGCAAATTGGGTAAATATAAATGCCACACACGACGCACCTAGAAATCATGAATAGGGAAAAAAAGCATGAAAATATAAAAAAGGTGAAGTAATTGAAATTGGGGGTTTAAAAAAAAAAAGTTATTACACACTTAATTAAAAACGTACGGACTTATTAGTACCGTAGGGGGGATTCTGCGGCACTCAAAAAAATTATTTTAATTAATGCCGTAGGGGGTCCATGCGGTACTTATTTAAATAAAAAAATTTTTATTGAGTGTCGTGGGGGGCAGTGAGCGGCACTCTATCCGAATAAAAAACAAAAAAATTTAACAAGAGTTCCGTGGGGAAGGGGTGGCGTCTTTTGGACACGCTGGGATCTCCCCGCGGCACTTAATGACCCCATACCGTAATTTCTCCTGTTGAGATACCAATTTCGTATATTTAATCCCAAACAGTACTAAAGTGGTCAAAGAGTCTGACTTAGCAACGCCCTCACGTGGCAATATATATTCGTTCATGCACCAATCAAATATCTTCCTGTGTATTATTATTAACACACATACATTTAAGGGGTTTATGTTTCGTAACGTCAGACTCCCAAATTCCTGCAGACACAATGTCTATGGAGTCCATAGTAGTTTTTTTTTTTTAAAAAAAAACTGATGTTATTTTCCATGTATACATAGAAAAAAAGATTTATGTTCCCGTAACATAATTTTTTAATTTTTTTATATATAATACATATCTCATTGTATTATTTTAATAAAATATTTAAATTTTGAATCATTCTTTTTTACATTACTTTCGTAAGTTGTCCAATAATCTCTATTGGTCTTGAATCATCTCACTTGCAATGAGAAATGGGTTCATCCAACAATTGGAAGAAACCACAGTTCCATACATCCTATTAACACAAGTAATCACACCATATTTCATAAATCTCACTAGTTAAATGCATGAATTTACTCTGTAATTTGATCATCTTCAAAACCTCCACCCAGGATTCTGTGGGGTTCTAAAGGTGTAGTTCACAACTGCAGTAAGATAGTTACCATATTCTTTTGACCGAAGCTCATCAGACATGTTACAACCTCCATTTCCACCTTCATTCATGGTCATCACTCTGCTCCTCGCACTGCACAAAGGACAGTGGACCACTGTACACTAAGGAATTTCAAGGACAAAGATGGATGACACCTAAAATATCCAAAATCAATAATAAAATTGTCATGTCACTCGGTCAGTGTCACCTACGCAAAGTCTTACACCGTGTTACAGCTTCCTTTAATGGCTGCAGGGACCTATTTGATAACATTTTCTCCTCAGAGACGTAAGGTTTGTTACTCGGTATTTTTTAAGATTATCCGGAAATTAAATTTTTTTAAAATTTTAATTATTAAATATTATCGTAAATTAAATATTTTTATTGTATTTTTGAAAATCGAGATTTTCAGATAATTTTTTTTTTAATCTACCAAACATCCGTTAAAAATTTTTTTGTTTGGGAATCAACTCGAAACATTATGTACAAGAATGAATAGATTATTAAGAGATCTATTAAACTCACGTTGCATGAAACAAAAATAAAATTGTAGAGTCCATTACTTTGAAAAAAATTTGTAACCTGTCAATCAAGAGCTAATCTAACAGTAAGAAAAAAGGTTGTAAAACATTTTGGTTGTAATTATAACTTTCTTTTATTTTCAATAGTACTCCTGTAATATGTATTTTTTTTACTAAAAATAAAGTTAAACGGGACTCATATGATTAATAATTAAATAGTAAATATAAGGATTGAATATCTTTTACATTTATATTGAGTTTTATAAAAATTATGTTGGAGCAAAAGTGAGTTTGTCATGTTATAGAAATTCGTTTTCCGCACCTAATTTTTTAATTTTGCTTCAAAAAATGTGAGCCCCACAAAATGTTATATTTGTAGAAAGTTTTTCTTTTTTCTTGGTGCAGGAATCAAGATCAACGCAAATCCCATTTATATTATAGGAAATAAAATTATATTTTACACATATAAAAATAATCCATACTTTTTTTTTTCTCTCTTCTTTTTATATGGATGCGTGGAAAATAATTTTATATCCTATAACATAAAAAAAAATGTCAAACCTTAAATATAAATAATTGAAAGGAAAATATTTTCTGTATTTGTGGTAAATTTTTTATATGTTACGTAAAGAAAAATAAGAGAGAAAAATCTATAAAGAAAGAGAACATGATAACTAATGAACCTATCTCGTTTTTCTCTCCGTTGACAGATAAAAAATTTCGGATACATAAAACATTGGAATAGTGGCCAAAGTGCCACGGTTGACAAAAAAAAAAACACCAAAACGTCGTCACGTCAACAGTAAATTTTGTTAAAATATCACGTGACATTTGCTATACTGTGTAGAGAAATATGTGTGCAAATAATTCGCTACACGGTATAGCGAAATATGCTGCGTCAGAATGCACAGAACCAAAAATGCCACGTGTGTCAGAAATGGTGTGTAGCGAAATTTTCCCTGTTTAACAAGTGGCATTTTTGGTTCTGATGTGACATATTTCACTACACCGTGTAGCGAATTATTTGCACACGTGTAGCAAAATATGTCACATCATATTTTGACAAAATTTACAATGTCACATTTTGATATTTTTTTTTTTTTTGCCAATAATGACACTTTGGCCACTGTTCTTAAAACATTTCCCCATAATTGAATAACTTTTTTTTTTATTTTAATACATGGATATAAAACTTAATTTACCCAGAATATAAACTAAAAGTGTCGGCTATTGTGTGTTGTTGTTACCTTGAACCTAAACCTACGCTACGGTATCTGTAATTGGGGAGAGTGAAAGAGAAGAGAGTGTGTTTGTGGCGATGACAGGGGCGTCTCCACCTCCTTCCGTCGCCGAAATCCGTTCTCTATTCCGTTCCCTTTTACGAGTCGCTCGCCAGTTCCCAGATTACAACATCAGGGAATACACTAAACGACGCACCATCGATGCGTTTCGTCAAAACTCCACCCTTTCCGACCCTTCTTCCGTTTCCTCAGCCTTCTCTCACGGCAAGTCTCAGCTTGAGGTCGCTAAACGACAGGCCGTTGTTTACTCTCTCTACGCCCCTCCTCTTCGGAGCATCATGGACCTTCAACAAAGGACCTCTTAATCACGGTAACTATACTCTCCCACTTCAATTTCACTCTTTTTTTTTTCAAAACCCATTAATGCCTTGATATCTAACAAGATAAAAATTCGTGGGTTTTCTATTTTATGGCTAATTATTGTGTGTAACTGGAGTTGCAACTCAGTTATCTTTCTCAAGACGTCTTTTTTAGGGTATGTTTGATAAAAGGGGTTTGGAGGTTGAATTTATTATTATTTTTAATTAAGAGAGTTATAAAATTGAGTAAGAGATGATTACAAGATTACTTGATAATTTCTTATTTTATTTTTGGAGTGAGAGTATTCATTTAAAATGAAATATTTAGGGTTTAGGGTTTACTTTTCATTCCTTTTCACTTCGAACTCCACCATCCATACATACCCTAAGTTGCAACCCTGCTTAATTTATATGGGTAGTCCTAATTATGTTATTCTATCGATGCATTCTGTTGTCTCTGTATTTGAATAATAGGAGGGAAACTTCTTTTTTAATTGCTATTTGGTGTTATATCCATCGAATCCTGGTTCAGAAACTTGTGGCATATGCACACACAGTAATCATGATTGCTGTTTGCTATAGAATATCAATAAAGTCTCAAGTTCCACATCATTTGAAATTTAATCCACCATATATTGCTGATAGCTCTGATACAGTTGTCGAAACTTCTTATAATCATATTATTATGCCTTATATTTGCAAGTGAATTAATAACATTATCATGTGTGACAATTCCCTAGCTAGTAATAGCATAGGCTGATTATCGTGGTGCATAATATCATCTTTATAATTTGATCATATACAGGAGAGTGCACGAAAGAGATTGAAAACAGGTTAAGTGGGGCTGGTTTTTTGGTCTGCAAAACCATGGAAAATGTAAGGAAACGTTATAACGATATTAGAATTAGATCCCTTTTTATAGGATAAAACTCCTCTTGTTATAAAGAAGTTCCCAGAACTCTATAATGACGGAAGTTAGGTAAAGTGCTGTTAGCGTAATATGAACAGTAAGTTAATGTTCATTTGACAAATTGCTTCTGCATCATATGTGCTTTTCAATTTGCTAGTATGAGGCTTTATTAACTCCTTAATGATTGGAATTACCGCAGGTGTTGAGTATGACTCTTATTGTTCTGTTGAGAGGACAAATTAGAAATTTGTGTTTCCTTACTCCGCATTCATCTGTTATGGAACTGGCGACGAAGTGCAAATCTTTTGAGGTCTCAACTTTCTCTAGGAAAGCAATAATTGCTCTTTATCATCCGACACTCTTTTTTTGGAGGACAAGTTTATGTATGTGTTTTTAAAAATTGAGTGGCACTCCCTAATAATGAATGCAAAACAGGTGTTAAGTTGTTAGAATAATTTAGTTGGTCTGTCTGTAAACTCGGCAATTTTATTTAATTTTTGAGATGATGATGATGATGTTCTCCTTCACCATAATAATTTGATGATGTTGATTTATTTGCTCTGTTGATAAGGCTGGATTATTCTGGTTTGTCGTTTACATTGAACAAGGAATATCACTCTAAGATTTCCACATTCCATTCAACTTAAATGAAGCAAGTAATATATATCTTTTGGGTGGAGAGTGTAGTTCTTATCGAGAAGATATCATGTGATTGTGAGATTGTGACAAGGAAAATCAAAGCAGAAATCGTGGACCGTGATTCCCTCTTTCCCGTGCCAACCCTGTAAATGGGGATTGCAATTGCAAATACTCTAAACCAGAATATCCATCAATATCATATAATTCACAAATTAGCACATTTTATCTGCAAATATATGTGTAGTAAAAGTAAAATGTCACACAGTGATATAAAAAACATTTCGAGTGAAGAATTTTATGGTTGATAGGCTGGGAAGTCTACACACTGAAGAATTTTAAGCATGGCAGAGCATTGGCAACGGTATTCTTTTGCTACATCATTAGCAACACTTTAGGACAATCTTTTTTCGCAAAAGAACATAGTATGACCATGGGACTTAGTGTTTCTTCAAAGATCGCAGATAGTCATATTAGGTAATAATCTTGGTTCCTTCTTAATTCTCGTAATTTTCTCATAACCCCAGTTTCCAATTTTGAAGATGACTTCAAGAAGGATTGCACAAGTCACAAGAACCCTTTTCTCTTTAGTATAAATTTCTGTGTTTCTTTCAACTGTCCAACATTCCTACAATCTCAAAGCAATACTATTCCTGCATTTTAGTTTTTGTTGATATAGGTTCAAGGATACCGATCAAAAACTTTCATCAGTTAAATGTATTAGTCAGTTAGAGATTGTCCACGGTAAAATAATTCTTCAATTTTCTTCAGTTAGCCATTGTCAATTAGACATTGAGCCATTCTTACGTCAAATTTCTCATCCTCCATTTTCTTTTCTTTCGTGTAGCAAAATTATGTGAGGGGTTAGCTCGATGGCTTTGGCATTTCAAGTGTGTCATGTAAGCAAAATAATGTCGTGAAGTTCTTTTTTCCTTTTCGTTCATTTTGTTTTTTTCCTTTTCTGTTTTTGGCATTGTTTCGGAGTAGTTATTTGTGGTGTTTTTCATGAGATATTCTCATTCTAAAACGTACCTTTTGACTATTTAGCAGCAAGTCAGTTGAGGAACTAGCAATAGCATGAGACTTCTATCACAGATGACATCAGGCAGATGTTCAATATGGCCAAATGGCTTCTTATTTTTCAAATAAATTATGAAATCACATTGCCTTCTTACTGATTTCTCCCATACGATCCATGGCATCAATCATCCTTTTATTTTCACATTGAGCCTAAGATGGTGCAGTGCATGTTGGGAAATTCCTGTAGAATTGTTTGAAGCAGGAAATTTTTCTTTGAAGTGTTTGTTTCAAATGCAAGTATTTGTTGCTTGATGACTACTATATCTCATATCAGCTCCATGGCTCAATGTTTTTATATGGTTCCATTAACTTTTTGTAAGGCTAGTAAGCCTATTTCCCTGGTTAAAGTCAATCAGCCGGAAAGCAATGTACATGTCACTACTACTAACATTAAGAAAACAAATGAAATTCCTTCAAAGAATGTTGGGGAACAGCTGATAGTCTCACACTAGTAAACAACAACTGAAGTGGAGCATTACAAGTCCATTTACAGAACCAACGACCAATTAGACACTCAAAAGTTCTCTACCAAATCTGGAGTCCCATCAAATACTCCTAGAATACAATTAAACAAAGCAAATCAAAAGTAAACTAAGTCTTACATGATCGTGATATGACCTTTCACGTCAAAATTTTCACACCTTTACTCTTCTTTAAATCAGTTCTGTTTTCCATCTTAATAGGCATTGGAGCAGAGAACAGAAGCTTCTCTTCGTGAGCCTGAAGCTGCCCTTTCACTTTATTTCTGCCATCATATTTGAAATCCCTTCTAGAGTTCCTTTCCCCACTGCTATGTGATGATCCTCCACTGTCTACAACCAGGACTTCCTCATCATCTTCAGCACCCTGAGAAGAATCCACAACATCTTCAACTGCACAATTGACATCCTCCAAAACCTCTCCTTGGTCATCACTAGATGAATTTCCATCCGAGCAAGTCACATTTCCACTTAGATCCGGTTCACAAGTGCTGCTGTTATAAACCTCACAAATATTCCCATTCTCTGCAAATCTCACACTTTTCTTCACTCTAGGTTGAACTCCTTGCCTTTGAACAAAGACCCCATTTTTGTTTAGGGAAACCTCATCCCTTCTACCAATCAAAACATTAGTTATTCCATCGTCATGATTAATACCCTCCTCGGGCTCCGAATCTTCTTCATCATTTGCAGAAACCTTAAACAATCTGCTAATCTTCTCAACCCTGCCCCTCAAATTCTGCAACAGCTTTCTCTTTTCTTCATCACCTGAATTTCTGGGCTTGTGAACTTTCTGAACAGACCTTGCATTCTTTGCTGCTTTGACATAAAGCACACGTTTTTTTGCAGCAACCTCTTCTATGGAGTCTAAAAACTGAACCAAATCTCTACTTATCGACCTTTTCCCCTCCACAATCATTGGATCACAACCCTAGAACCAAAATCAAAAAAAAAAAAATCAGGTTTAAAAAAAGAGAGAAAATTCCACAAAATAAAAATAAAATCACAAGATTAGATCACCTGAATGGAATCAAGTTCAAGGAGCAAGTCCATGGCTTTGAGAGAGAGAGCTGCGAAATCGATGTGGGTGTGGTTGGAAAAGGAGGATTTGAGAGCGTTGAAGGTGGACTTGATGAAAGCGAGGTGCTTGAGGTGCCTTAGGGTTCTTGATCTGCGAACGAGGAAGGAACGAAAATGGGTTTGGATTATGCGTGCAGCAGCGTCCCGTAGAGAGTGGCGCGTGTGATGGTTGAGAGAGGATTCAAGGGATTCGATGCGGTGTAGGAGGGAGGAGATTGTAGAATGGGTTTGGTTTTGGTGTTGGTGTTGGGGTTGGGGTTGAAGGTGATTGTTTTGAGTGAAAAGGTTGTGATGAGTGTGAGATTTGGTGTAATGGGGGAAGAGTTGAGAGGGAATAGGGTGTGGTTGAGATAGGAGTGAGGCAATGGCTTGTACAAGGTGATCCTGTGGTGGTGGTGGTGGTGGTGGTGGACATGGGTGGTGGGGTGAAGTGCTGCAACAAGTGTAAGAAGGGTTGCAGCAGCAGTGGGTGGAAGGAGGCGGAGCTTGGTGGGGGTGGGGGTGGTGGTGGTTGTGAGAGGCCATTCAGTGTGTCTGAGCCCTCAACTTTCTCAATGGACAGTGAGTGACTGGGTGAGAGGGTGGTGATTTTGGTTTTGGTTTTGGACTTTTGTTAAGTACCTTAGTTACTTGATGTTAAGACATAATAAAAAAAACATTCTTTTGGTTTTTCAGATCTGGCATGATAGTTTAAATTTTGAATGGATTAGTGCACATAAAATGAATTATATCTAAAAAAAATAAAATTAAGTTCATGTATTTTTAAAATAAATGAGTAAAAAGTATATACATGCATATGCATTTTTAAATTTTAATAAGTTAAATTTGTTTGATGAAATGGAGGCTAGTGGAACCAGCAACATGAAGTTTCCAGAGTGAAAGGATGCATACTGGTTGGAGTAGACAACGGTGCTAAGGCTCATGCAGTTGTTAAATTTATGTAAGATGGAGCTGAGGGAAAGGTTTGCCTCAATACCCATGTTACGAATTTTATCTACCATGGAAAATTGATATAATTAATGACATTATGGTTGGGACATATCACAAATTTTCCAACCTAGGAGTTTCAAAATGTTGGTCATTTTTAAAGGAAATATTTCTCAAATAAAGTTCTGAGCAATGAGCATATTGTCTGTATTATCCTACATCACCTCTTTGCTTCACATGCTAGCCACTGGAGTTGTAAGTTATTTTCACGGGAGAATGTACATTTTCATCTTCATTATAAGCATCTTCATTATAAATATTTTCACGGGAGAATGTTCACATTGTTATGCTTATGCAAGTCTTATTTAGCAATTGTATTCATTTGATGCTAATACTAGCCGACTTATCAATGAAACTAATACTTTGCCTTGTTAAGGAAGAGGAAAGATATTCTTACTACTCTATTTTTTCACTACCAATCTAATATAACTATATGCTTTGAGAAGTATATTAAATTTTTTCTTTCTTTTTTAATAAACTTTTCAAAAATTATCGACTGAAAAATGAGATCCAACAAATAAAAAATGAAAGTCGAAAAATGAGATAGTAAAAATATTCTACCTCATTAAGGAAATAGATTGCTTTAGCATTCATTTGCCTTATCGATGACAAGAACGAAATAGATTGCCGAAAACAAAACTAATACAAATACGTCTAAAACTTGTAATTTATTTACAAATGTCTTAAGATAAAAATATAAGACAGGCAATTGTTTTAAAATCCATATCCCCAGAAGAAAAAACTTACTTTTATTTGGTGAAGTACATGAGAAAAACTTGTGGCATTGCAAGATTTTGCTCTTCCAGAGACAACTGAAGGTCTGATGCATCTCATTTGCTCAAACAATGCAAAAGTGTATATACTATATACTCAACCAACTGTCATATAAAACTAAAAATTAAGCAACGGATATTCTATTAAAATGCTGAGTGGAGATGTTAAAACAATGTCACAAAAAGAAAAGTAATGTTCCTTAAGAAATAAAAGGGAAAAATTCAACTGGTATTGGATCGTGTATGGTCAGATGCTTTCTTCACCATGGCAGCATGCTTTTGCCCTGAAAGATGATAATTATAAACCGTCTCACTATTACACACGACGTTACATATAGCACATATTCTAACTGCTTCAGCTGCTGCCCCCCCTTCAAGAACCTTTTTCTTCTTTTTCTCCAAATCCTCTGGAGTTTCAACTGTTTTCCTCTTACTCTTCTGCCCACTGTCAGATTTGCTCTTGTCATTATGTACTTGTGGTCCTATAACAGGATTAGATGACCCAGATGGATGAACTTGAGTTGGTTTCAATGATTCTCTTAGTTTCTCCAAGTTCTTCTTGTGCTTCTTTCCTAATTTATGCTGGTCCAGTACATCCTTACTGGTGCAATCTATCTTGCAAACTTCACAATATGCAGATTGCACAATCTTAGTTTTAGCTTTCTTTAGGTGTTTCTTCCATATTCCATTGCCATGAGGTTTAGTTGTCGTATTTGTCCACAATGTGGAGTTAGGATTTGCAAAAGCCAGTTGTTCCGAGCCATCTGATGGTACAGAGATGCCCTGCAATGCATGATTATATGGATTTATTTCCAACTCATGATAGATAATACACAATGCAATTAAAAATTAGATAATACATACAATGTTCATCACATTCCGTTCTGTTGCTGAGTTTCACTGTTCCTTTCTCTTTCCACGGAGCATACAGAACTTACATACACCCCTTATATGAATTTAAATATACTATTTAAATCCTCAACCAAAGAATTGATAAAATATACCAAGAGTCCAGCCAAGGTTTTTTTAACCTCTGTGAAGCACTTATGTTAGCTGCCAGATTTTAATATATGCTGAACGTAGAGGAAATTACTTAAATTATTAAAGATAATACACATAATCAATTTTTACTATGATGCTCCAAAAAGTAAAGGCAGAAAGATTTATCAGTGTAATAAGTTACTAGTAGTCTATTACAATCCAAGTAGTGAGAACTGAGAATTCAAAATATTGGCAACATTGCAACATTGTTTTTCTACTTTGAATAAAAATCCATGTTTCTCCTTAGCATCAAGGAAGAAGAAAATTTGAGGTAAAAAACAACTGGAAGGAAAAAGTTAGGAACATATTTTAAAATACAATGGCTCAATAAAATCATTAAACTAGGCAATTTTCAATTGGACTACAGTATCCACAGAAATCTATTTGAGTTCATACACCATTTGACACACATTAAGAACAAAGAAAATCAATTATCATTTAAAATATCTCAATTTTCCACAACACTTTAGCTAGTTGCCAGTAAACGAGAACATTATCATAAGTGATGTCTTCAATTTCAATTTTTAACTACTTTCTTAAGCACAGTTCTAATCCCTACCTAACCTCTACAATTGCAATCAGAAAACAGCATCAATAATCAGTCCTGAAATTATGAAGAATCAAACTGAAGCACATACATTCCACCATTCCCTCTGCATTCCAAACCTATGAATTTAAAACCCTTTCCCTATCATAATCACCATTCACCATCATTTCCAACAATACACCACCAAAAAATAAAAATAAAAATAAAAATTGAAACTTTTATGTTAAAAAGAAACACCCACTTACAGCTCCATGGCTAACAGGGTTTGCACCATACTGCCTAACAGCCTCCCTAGCAGCCCAATTCTGGGTATTGGGATCCAAGTAGTACCCAGAAGATGCCACCAACGAGCTCGAATCAACCACATGGCTGTGAGTGTGACCATACAAGAAATTGGGAAGGCCTTCATGACCCAGATGAGTAATGATATTAGGATTGGAGTTCAATGGGGCATAGGAATCAACCCCAGGAGGGTTGAGCCCTGGTTCCAGAAGAGTGCCACCATGGGTTACAAGAGAAGATTGAGGGATAGATGAAGAAGGGTTAGGGTTTTGAGGGTAAGAGGGATACTGGGTAGTGAAAGATGATGGTTGAGGATACGATGAGGGTACAGAAGGTGGGTAAGAGGATAGTGGGGTTTGGTTTTGCTGTGATTCAGGCCAAGTTGTGTAGTCCATGGTTATGGCTATATGGTTTTCAATGACATAAACAATACAAAGGGTACTTGAAGAATGTGTTGAAGAAAAAAGAGACACCGGAGAGAGACAAACAACAGCACATGGAGGATGCATACATCTTGAGAGTGGGAAATGCTAATAATTTTATATATATTGAGATAAAATATTCTAACAATCAATTAGTTTACTATCAATCTTATTATCAATTAATTTTATCGTTAGATCGATTACATATTTAATATGAAAGCATTAAATATGATAAATCATAACTATACAAAGGTGAAAATAAATATAAAGTATTAAATATGGAACAAAGATATAAATAAATATAATCATTGGATCCACATAATAATCTAACGGTGAAATTGATTGGTAGTAACATTATTAATAATGGTGAAATTGATTGGCAGTAACATTGTTAATAATGGTTGTTACAATATTCTTTTCTTATCTATTTTAATATATTTTTTTTATTAATTTATTTTTATATAATGTATGATTATGATTATCTTGTATGACCGTATTGTATTGTATTTTGTGAAAAACTTTATTTTCACTCATTGTTATTTTATTTTTTACCATTTGATAACCAAGCAAGCACGTGTCGGACACGGACACGGTCCGACACGCAGTCAACATTTGAGAACACGCGATCAACTCTTTGACACATTTTTTGATACGCAGTCAACTTTTTTTGACACGCGGTCAACACTCCGATACGTTTTTTTTTAATCTTAATTTTATTTTATTAACTACATATAAAAAAATTAATTTATAAATTACTTTTTTATATTATTATATTTGACATAAAAAATTAACAAAGTACGAAAAATTATTTTTATTTATATTTATGTTATGAAATTTAAATATTTGATTGGTTATATGATTTATTATGGACTCTTATACGTATTAAATATAAATTATAGTATATATATTAAAATTTTTATTTAATATCAAAACGTATCTCAGCGTGTCAAAATATGATATTTTTTAAAATTAACGTGTCGGCATGTCGTGTCGTGACCCGTGTCGGTATTGGTGCATCATAGTTGATCACTATGATTTTAAACTTTTAATTTAGGTTTATTGTGATTAAGTAATTTATCATTTCACCTCCGATTTCAAATTTTTACTTACACATGTGGTTATAAAAATATAAACTTAGACCCTAGTCTTATATATACATAATTTTTTTTATTTTTCTTAAGTTTTATCTAATATTATTATCATATTATAAATTAAAATTATGTACCGAAAAATATGAATTTAACTAAATTTTAATTAATAATAATATCAATATATCCTTATAATTTTATTCATATAATTTTTTTATATTTTTCTCTTTTTTATTTTATATCCTCATCAAATGCAAAAAGTTCACTTATTTTTATTATGAAAATATATTTAAATCAAATATTATTTTATTTTATACTCGACATCCTTATAAAATTATCTAAAGAAAATATATTTTATTTTGATAATTTATCTTTAATAATATATTTTTAAAATACATAAAAATAAAGATAATTTATAAATTAATTTCAAAATAAATAATTTGAAATATGTTTTAATTTAATATTTAATTAGCCTGATACCTGAGATAGTAAATGATACAACTACTATTATTTTGAGAATTAACATTAAATGTCTCAAAAAGAATTAACATTAAATTTGTCGAGTCAAACAATAATTAACGCCATAAATAATTTATATTTGTCTGGCTCAATCTTTTCAATATTCTTGTAAATTTAAAATCGTTAAATTTATTCCTAACAATGATAATTTGATTATTAATTTTTTATTTCTTTCTTTGCCCCAAAAATTCGAATATTTGTTAAATGGACGAATGAAGGTGTGCATAATTGATAATTACTTCAATACTAATGTTATTCGTGAAATATTGTTGTTCTTGTGTTGCTTTTTCTTTGGTGAAATTTATTCATATGTTATGTTTTTTTTTTTTTTTTTGGGTGGTAATTATTATATCTTGCTATTGTCTTATTTTCAAGATTTGAAATTTGAGAAATTATAAGAAATTTATGTTCCAATACTAAAATTTGGTCACTTAAGTCCTTAGACTTTATCAAATATTTTAATCTTTTAAGGTAATTAAAAAATATAATTATCAATTTTCAATTATCATTATTTTATTTGATTTTTTTTTTAAGTTTATAGAAATTCTGAAAAGTTAAAATAAAATTAATTATGATATTATTTATTATTTGATCAAATGAATTTAATGTTAATTTTCAAAATAATAATAATAATTATATTATTTATTATCTTCATTATTATATATAAATTATTAAGGTCTTCATTTCTCTTAAATTCTTTGTGCGAAAAAGAATAAAAAAATTAATCAACAAATTATTATTATTATTATTAATAAATTTGATATATTTTAATTTGTTAGAATCTTAAAAATACAAATGATAATTAATTACAGCGTAATTACTTTTCGACTCGGCGAATTTATACCCATTTTTTTATTAACAAATTTATACCGCTTTCTAAAATAAATATTATTATATTATTTATGATGTTAAAATTATTTGATACTTATTATTATATGATGTTAATTAATATTTAAAGAAAATGAGAGTAGAAGAGAGAATAAATTTGGGACGGTAAATACCAATTTTTTTTAAAAATGAGACACGTTAATCGAAAAGCCTCTTATTAAATTATAATGTTACGAAATGAGAAAAACTGCATTTATTGAACAAAAATATTATCGTTATTATTATTGTTCTTAAAAAATAAATATATATTAGGCTCAAATAATTCTCAGAAAATTTCAAAACTTTCACCAATCTGATAACAAGAGCAGATTAATCAAACAAAACAAGTTTCCGTATTACATTCATAACAGCCATGCAGTAATGAATGGGAGTACAAAGCAACTTCAAAACATAGAGCCTCCACTTTCCCAAATTTATACCCATTTTTGTCAACTACAATAGGAAAGTAAAGGAGGAAAAGAAAAACTCAAAGAAAAAATAATAAAGAATCAAACTGACTGCCTCAATACTTGACTGACATTGCAGTGTACTTGATCAATGATAGATATATATTTTATGCCACAGCTGGCATGTCTTTGAGCCATGGATCCAGTGGCTTGCCAATAGAGTAAACGATGAAGCCAATTTCACGTAATTTATCAGCATCCACAATGTTCCTGCCATCGAAAACAAATGCTGGTTTTTGCATGTTGTCATATATTTTCTGATAATCAAGAGTCTTGAACTCATCCCACTCAGTCAGAATGCAAATGCCATGTGCATCCTTTGTGGCTTCATAGGCATCCCAAACCACACTGACCTTCTTCACAGTTGTGGGGCTTGTGGGCTGCAGATGGATAGGATGGTCCCAATCAAACTTGTTCATTGATAGATCCCTCTGGATTTGGTCCTCAGTTACTTGTGGGTCGTATATGCTCAGGTTGGCTTTATCACCAAGTAGCCCCTTGCACACATCAATGGCTGGGGTCTCCCTTGTGTCCCCAGTATCTTTCTTGAAGGCAAATCCCAGAATAGCAATCTTTTTGTTTGAAACTGTGTTGAACATTGATGCAACTACACGGTTCACAAAACGACTCTTCTGATAATCATTAATCTTGATAACTTGTTTCCAGTACTCTGCCACCTCTGGAAGGCCATTACATTCACAGATGTAAACAAGGTTCAAGATATCCTTCTGGAAGCAGGATCCACCAAAACCAACACTAGCATTGAGGAACTTGGGTCCAATCCTTGAATCCGTACCAACAGAATAGGCCACCTGTTGAATATTTGCCCCAGTAGCCTCACAAAGTGCAGACATGGCATTAACAGATGAAATCCTCTGGGCCAAGAAGGCATTAGCAGCGAGCTTAGATAGCTCTGCAGACCATAGATTGGTGGTTAGTATTCTTTCCTCAGGGACCCAGTGAGCATAAACATTCTTCAATACTTGTATAGCTTTCTGGCCTTCAGGGGTCTCCCTGCCTCCAATAAGAACCCGGTCTGGTTTAAAAAGATCTTGGATTGCAGTCCCCTCAGCAAGGAATTCTGGATTTGATAGAATCTGGAATTTGATTCCCTTGCTATTGTGAGTCAGAATTTTCTCTATTGCCTCGGCAGTTTTGACGGGGACAGTGGATTTCTCAACCACAATTTTGTCAGACTTTGAGACATCAGCAATCATGCGAGCTGCGCTCTCCCAATATGTCAAATCTGCTGCTTTGCCAGCTCCAAGACCCTGAGTTTTAGTTGGAGTGTTGACAGAGACAAACACTATGTCAGCCTCAAAGACATGTTTTTCAACATCAGTGCTGAAGAAGAGGTTCTTGCCACGACATTGCTTTACAACACCATCAAGGCCAGGCTCATAGATAGGAAGCTGGTCGCTGTTCCAGGCTGCAATGCGGGATTTAGAGATATCTACAACAGCCACTTCAATGGATGGGCATTTAACTGCAATGACAGCCATTGTAGGACCCCCCACATATCCAGCACCAATGCAGCAAATCTTCACCATTTTGCTTTTCTAAATAACCTATCCAAATCAGAGTGCAAACAAATCAGTAAGAACACAAGCATGCATCAGAAGCCACTTTGACGTCTTAAAAGGCAATCATTTTGAATTATAGTACGTACTAACAAGACATAATATAGACATGATTACATTTTGCAACTATGATCATCTTGGAGATCAAGGAGACAGGTAACCATAGCCGCTTATATACTTAAAAGTTCAAAAAATAATATATCACAAAGCACTATACATCAAGAACAGGTCAACAATTCTACATCATGAAGGTTCCATTAAATCTCAATGATTCCAAATTGTAGATTCACTTCATTTTGAGACATCATATCAAAGCACCATTCTTTTGTTCCACCTTGCTTTGAGGATCTAAGAATTGGACAACAGAACTACATGTTACGTTGTTCCAACAGGGCAAAAATAAAAAAGCATGCACTGCCTGGTATTTCAAAATTCACATCCAAAAAATAAGAAATCAGATCAAGCGGGGATGGAAGATCTATGACAGATGAAAGTGATGATAACATGGATGAAACAGGAACCCATAAAAGAGCTTAGAATAATT